GTCAATAATGATGGTTGATATGCGTTGTTTATTTGTTGAACCAGATAGACATATATATACATGACAATATTAATTATGGACGGGTTAGGTTTATGTGATTAATACAAGGAAAGGATTTGAAGTAGTGTAGGTTGTTTCCGTGGGCAAACATGCCTCGAAACTTTAATAATGTATATGAATCCAAAGTGACGTACGATATATATATATTTATGATTAAAAATTAAGAGTTAAAAATTAAAAATTAATATTTTATATTTTAATAAGATTTGATTACTAATTAAAATGTATTTTACCGACAGTTTTTTTAAACTGAATGACATAACTGTACCACAGGAAATGCAACGTACGATACTTTTTAATCTTTGCTAGGAAAGGAAAGTGTGTACTGCAATTATTCCTTCCACTAAATGGTGGACCCAAATGGAAGTGAACAACGGTGCACTAAAATTCCTAAATAACAGTTTAAGCCCTCAAACTTTTTTGAAGTGACTTTAAGTCCCTGGATGAATATCACATAAGTCCATTGCACCAAAAAAGGGTTAATTTCAATATGATCCCTAAAATTATTAAACTTGAAAAATTTAGTTCTCAAACTTTACGAAATATAAAATTGGTTTTCTTTCATCATCAGTCATCACAGGTTCATCACCTTAACTCGGTCCCAACGTCAATAGACACAAACACCATAACTGTTTTTCTCTCTCTATAGTTCAATTCTAGAACCCCTTTTTAAAATCCAGAGGTCCCCTTATGCTCAATGGTATCTTGCTTGATTGGTTTGCCCTATTCTTTTGGTTCTAGAGGGACACGTACTGTGACGGGCCAACTTGTTTTGCATCTCTTTATAATGCCCAGATGCGACTTTTCACTGCACTTTATAATATTGATACTTGTTTTAAATCTTGTAAAGTTTAAAGACTAATATTCTTTTGAGTTCGAACAATTCATGGACAATACTAAAAATTAACTCATTTTTATACAATGCCATTAGAGATTGACTGATGGAGGTTGATTGTTTCCACCACAAAGGACCTCACGTTACTTTTGAGTAATTTTTGTGGCTTACATGACACTTTTTGTTTAAGGGCTTAAATTTCTTTTTTTTTTGAAAAAAGTTCAAGGACTAGTTAATCTATAATTTTCATTTATTTATTTATTTGAATTTTTACTTTCTGAACCCCTTTTGCCCATCATGCATAAGACATTCCCATACTCTTCTCTCTTTAAGTCTTTATACCTCGTCGCGGGTGCCATCATTATCATCTAAAAAAATTATATAGGAACATTTATTTAATACATACTATAAGAAAATATTGCATAAAAAGACCCAAATTCAGTCAAATTTTCGGGAGCAATTCAACTCTCTGTTACACCCATTTCCTTTTCAGCTTTCGCAGCGTGTGTCTGCAAGGCCTGTGCCACACACACGCCGTGGAGCTTTTGCCAACCTTAGGTTTTCTAGCGGACTTAAAAGCAGTTGTCTTTTTCCACCACTTTGAATCATCTTTTTCTATATCTAATTCTGAAATCTCGTCTCCCCAAATTATCGATTCTAGATTAGTCTCTTCTTTTAATACTAGTAATTTTTTTCCTCTTTCTAATCAATATGTTTTGTCCTAAGCGCATAACGGCTTGTGTCGCCCACACGACCTAATTAAATTTCTTTTATCATGATTATGACAGGATTAATTTATATAATACTCAAGTTGATCTCCCTTAGCCGGTTTTGTTGAACCAAACAGATATGGGTGGCAAGAGCATATTAATTAAATACGGGGGAGGTGGATGATTTGAAGACGGACAAAGATGATTACCTATATAAAACATTTGATTTAATGTTTTTTTAAAGAGAAGTGTTAGCTGCATTCGATGGATCATTAATTAATCTAAATTTAATTTTTATCTTTTAAAATAAGATGATTTGGGCCAATCAATATAGCTATAAAAGTGGGAAAGGAATCCACAAGAAATGATACCTTTTCAGTTTTTCTGATGATATGGCATGTGATATGTTAGGTATATTAATCAATCTAATTGAAGATATATGAATATTTTAAGTTGTAGGAGTGAGAAATTAATGATTAATCTCGCATCCATGTACGTGGTTTTGTAGTATTAAAAGTATATAGTGCTAAAAGGGTAGATTATCTTTGCAGAGATTAGACTTGTTTAATTAATTAGTAAATGGCGTGTGCTTCCCACGTAATTCTTCAAAATTTAGGGAATACACTACAAGAGCATAACAATTTGTTATAAATTAGTTCAATGGCCTATTGCTTTGATTGCATCTAAGAGTCAGATTTAATGTAAAGATCTTTGATTTATTCTAAAGCTCAATAGTGGATATTTTTAATAAATTTAAACGTTTTGAACTCTAATCCTCCTGTGTGAAACTAGGACAAGGATGTACTTACCCCCTAAACCAACAGATTTAATGCAATATTTTTCTATGAAAGGCTTATCCCTCACTTATCCATAACAAGTCCATTGACTGTAATTTCTCACATTAAAATTTCTTCAAATTTCATCCATTTTCCTTCTTTGCCCTCTTTCTCTCTCTTTCTCCATCATCATTTCTCTGCCAATTTCCTCCCAAATCTTCTCTTGTGAGTTCTCGACCGTGTAGATCTGCGTAACTTTCCTCTTCATACAACATTGTTTCTTTGATTTTCAACATTCTTTCTTCTTTTCCCTCCTTCCCTCTTTTTCTTCTTTTTTCCCTCTCCTCCCCTCCCCTCTTCTTCCTTCTCTTCTCCCCTCCTTGGTTTGTTGAAGGAGAACCCAGATTTGGGTTTTCTTAGAGAACCCATGGGTTCTCAAGGAGAACCTAGATTTGAGGAGGTTGACGGAAGAGAGAGAAAGAAAAAAAAAAAAAAAAAGGAGAAAAAGGAAAGAGGAGGAAGATAATGAATTTTTATAAATTTTTGTTAGATTTTTTACGAATTTGATGATATTGTGTGTTGTTTGGTTGATAAGAAAATTGGAGATAGAAAGAAGATTTCCTTGGTAAAATATGTTTGGTAGCTTACGGGAGAAACTTTTATTTTTGTTGAAAAATTTATATAAACTAGAGAAGAAGATAAACTAGAGAAGAAGATGAAAGTGGAAAAAGGTAAATATGGAAGAAGATAAACCGGAGAAAAAGATCAACAATGGAAGAAGATAGCACGGTTTTTCACATTTTTTATTGCTTGAGATGGCACAATTTTTCACATTTTTATTACTTATTTAATAATTGTCTTTTAGCAATTCACTCTCAATTAATACGTTTGAAAATGTATTTTCAAAAAAAAAAAAAAAAACGTTTGAAAATGAACATTAAGAGGGTGTTTTATGTTTGGCAACTGATTTAGGTCGTTGGAAAATAATTTTAAATTATAAAATATTAATTTTATAAGTGGTGTGCGGAGGAGGGTGCCCGTCCACGAGGTGCCGTGAAACTAATATTTCATAAGTATAGTGATGAAGATGGTGATTAATATATCTTTTCATTTAATATATTACATAATATATTTATTAAAAAATTATTTTTTTATTTAAAATTAAAAGTAGACAATATTAAAAATATAATTATGGACATAAATTATAAGAATCAATTGAATTAATTGTATTTATATTATATTTTTAATAATTAAATAAAAAATATGTTAGAAAGTATATTAAATCAAGTATGTATAGATAATTTTTCATTTCCTTGGGTTAATCATGGACTAAACTTACATAATTTTACTCATGGGGGAGTCTTATAGTCTGTCTATTTTGATGTGAATGGAGGGGAGGCGCCAAGAGGAGATCATTGAGGGAAAAGTCTCTCCTTCCTTTGTTTGGATATATAATAGTAAGGAGGGTGAGAGAGTTGGAGGATGGTGTGACTCTGCCACTCCCTTATTTAGGATATATCCCTCCAAAATTAGAGGAATTGGAATAGATTGACATTTTTTTTTATTATTTTAATGTGAAAAGTTATAGCAATTTTCATTTCAAATATTTATTCAATTATTAATTATAAAATTAAATTTATTTTTATTTTATTTGTTAAAATTTTTTTGATAAAATATAAAAAATATAAATCTCCATTCTCCTCACCTTCCCTTCCCTACCCTTATAATTTCTATTAAGCCAAGGATTTGAGTTTTTTTTTTTTAAATGATTTACAGGTAACTTTTTTATATAACTTACATATCATTTAATGATTGACATTTTTTATTTTACTAAAGCACATAATATTGTATGTATCTATTTATTAATAACATGTTTGGCAATTATGAATAAAAGTTGGAAAAAAAAAATTGTTACCCTATCTCTACCATTTTTAATTGTTATGATACTTGTGATATTGGATATACTATAGGACTCACTAATCAAGGAGTCTTTGATGGTGTTGGACAAAATTTAAAAAACATTTGTTTTAAAAGGCAAATTCTTCTCTTATAAATTTAAAAATATATTCGAGAAAATTTTAAAAATTAGCTTTTAAATGTACATTTAAATAATTGTTAAAAAAAATTTAGACTAGTAGCTTTATTATTATTATTAAAATTATAAAAAGGACAATATTTGGAATAATGTATAGTTGTTATTGTACGATAACTTTTTAATCCCTTTATTCACTTTACTTATATATTTATAACTGAAACTTAAAATTTCTTACTCTTTTTTAATTTAAAAGAAAAAAAATTACTATTAAACTGTTTAAATAACTGAGTATTAATGTATAGTCAATGGTTATTACCTTGGTCAAACATGACATTAGGCATTGAAACTTTAGTTAATAATGGCATTGAAACTTTAGTTAGTAATGTACATGAATCCAAAGTAAACTTTTTCATCTTGCTACTAGAGGTGTGGACCAATGATTCCATACCCACTAGATTGTGGACCCAAATGGAAATTGGTACACGGTGGAAGAAGTAAAACTCTTCACCATTTCTTTTTTATTATTTTATATTTATTTGAAAATTTACCTTTATAAATAAACCCTAACCCCTTTTTGCCCTGATATGCATAAACCATTCCCATTAATTTATACACTTCTCTTACTATAAATATGCGCATCCTCCACACTCTTGACACACCAATCCCTACAAAGAGAGAAAGAGCTCAATACTTGTTAGAAAATTCCGATACCATCACAATGGTAGAAAATGGTTATGCTGATCTAGAGAAGCAGAGACTGCTTCTCCAAGCCCATGAAGAGAAGCACTTCATGTCCAGTGAGGTTGTCCGAGACATCATCATCGGCGTCTCTGACGGCCTCACCGTTCCTTTTGCTCTTGCTGCTGGTTTATCCGGCGCCGATGTCTCCTCCTCCATCATTCTCGTTGCCGGGATGGCTGAAGTCGCCGCAGGTGCCATCTCAATGGGACTCGGAGGGTAATTAATTTTCTCAAGTCTCTTCATTATTTTCTTTTTCCTTTGGAAAAAGAATTTGTTTTCTTAATCAATTATTTCTTTCTTGTGAGACTAGTTTTTTCTTTTCATGCAGATACCTTGCAGCAAAAAGTGAAGCTGATCATTACAAGAGAGAACTAAAGAGAGAACAAGAAGAGATCATCAGCGTCCCTGATATTGGTAGTTGGACTATTTGATGTTTTCTTTCTTCTGTTCACTTTTCTACAAAATTCCGTCTATCAATCGTTTGATTAAAAGCAAATTATTTACGGTAAAATTCAAATAAATTATCAGATCATCCTTCAAAATCAACGTATGTGTTGGGAAGCAAACAATTCTTGCGACTTTACTCAAGTTTTGCTTCTTTAATTTTAATTTTAATTTTTTTTAATGTTTTTGCTACTTTGGTAGGAGTATTAATTATTTATTTATTTTCTGAAAAAGAAAGTAGGGTTGGCATGTGGCCGGCACGTTTCTGTCCGGACGCTGGTGCGTTTGGCGGTTTGGGGAAAATTAGAAATTTTCGAGATTAGGAAATATTTATCAAATCATAAAAGTGAAAGTTTGATCTAGAAAAACATTTGGCTTCGATATCCTTAAATGGAAAAACATCGAAATAATAATGGAGCAAAAAAGAAAAAGATTTTCTGTTCGTTTTGCTAAAATTATATATTTTATAATTATTGATAAAAAGTAATTTTATTAACATTAAAATTGTGATCCTTTATCAAAAACTATAAAATATATATGGATTATAAAACATTATTCTCTAATATAAATATATGCGGTTTAATAATTTGTTTGATATAGTAGTTAAAATTTAATAGACAAAGAATAGCAGATAACAAATAGCGATAATAAATAATGAGTAATGGTTGACAAATAATGAGTGTCAGATAGTAGAAAGTGAGTAGCAAATAATGAATAACGAATTTAATTAATTTAATTGTTTTGTTATATAATAGTTAACTATTATGATTTAAAATTAAGTGATTGATAAAAAGTGATTTTATTAACATTAAAAGTGTATTTTTTTCTTTTTATATTTTTTATTGTTAAAATTATTAATTTTATAATAATAATAATAATTATTATAAATAAATAACTATAATAGTATAATTATACAGTAATTTTTATTTTTAATAAAAAATTATATTAGTTTAAAATTAAATAAAAAATTTTAATTTTTTCATCTAATTAATAATTTTTGTTTATTAAGCTAACACATTTTTTTATAATAAGTTAATGTAAAAATAAACATATAATAATTACTTAATATTATTAATTAAAGACAAAAAAAAATAAAGTTAAAACTAATTAGATAAATACTAATTAAAATTGTAGTTAAAAATTAAAAAATTAAAAAGCATAAATTTGTTAATAAAATTAAAATTTTTCAATCCACTAGTAGTTTAATATAAAAAACTACTTTACGCAATTTTTTCGATCTACTAACGGGTTGAACCTTTCGTCATCCACTAGTTTCAAACTACTAAGTAAAAAGTACCAAATGCTTAGTTTGTAACGGTTTTAAAATAAATAAATTATTAAACACTTATTTTTAGTGGTTTGGATAAAACCACTTACTGTTATCTCCAAACAGTTATACCAAATGAATCCTAAGTATAAGTTTTTTAAAATTAAAAAAAAAAATTCTTAATTAATATAAGCCATGGTTGCTTTGAAATACAGAGGCGGCTGAATGTGGAGAGATACTAGCACAATACGGAGTGGAGCCTCACGAATACGAACCCGTGGTGAATGCTCTAAGGAGGAACCACCAACATTGGCTTGATTTCATGATGAAGTAAAATTTCTTTATAATTAATTAAAAAAAAATATATAAGCATCTTTCTAGACCAAATTAACTAATTAATCAAAAAATAAACTATATATATATGTTAATGCAGGTTTGAGCTTGGATTGGAGAAACCGGATCCCATGAGGGCACTACGAAGTGCAGTGACGATTGCCTTGTCTTATGTAATGGGTGGAGTTGTGCCACTCTTGCCCTACATGATTATTCCGATTGCGGGCAAGGCGGTGCTGGCGTCTGTTGGAGTCACAATCGTCGCTTTGTTCATTTTTGGTTTGGCCAAGGGTTACTTCACCGGCTGCCAACCCTTTAAGAGCGCCATACAAACCGCCTTGATTGGCGCAATTGCCTCCGCTGCTGCTTATTCTCTAGCTAAGGTTTTCAAAGCTGCATGAATTTTTTTTTTTTTTTTTAACAAGGGTAATGGTTAATAAATTAGTTTTATTAGTTGTTAGCAATTGGAGATTCGATTTTCAGATATAGGGAACATCCCACCTCCTACAATGAGAGGCGCTACCCATCGGCCGATTGGTGGAGTTCAAAGCTGCATGAATTAACTGATTGCTGTGCCTGTCTCTCTCTCTTTTTCTCTCTCTTTGCTTGATTAGGCTTCTGGGTTATGTGCTTAAATGTATTTGGAGCAAATATTTCCATATTGTCCTATCTATATATAGTCGTGTATTTTTATGTTTCTATTGTCTATTTTTAAAATAAAAAGTATTTTACTATACTATACGGTTTAAATAATAAAATATTAATTTTTTAAAATGTATTTACACAAATAAATTAAGACTTAATTACAATCAAATATCACACAAACATATATACAATAAATGCAAAGAAGATCTGTTTTAACATCATTTTACTATTAAAGGAAAGGTAGTGAAAGTATCACGTACAGAACAACTTCTGAGGAATTTACTACAATTTATATGCTCTTTTGGTCAAACATTTCAGTATACTGAATACCTTTCAATCAACTCCTGAAGTTGATAAGCATTGTCTCCGTGATGCCGTGTGGCTCTATATATAGACGGAGATTAACACATGCATAAAAGAAGATTTCTTATTTTTCTTCTTCCTCATCTTGAGGTGTGACAAAGGTGGGTTTTGAGAGTTGAGAGGAGAGTGTGGAAACTGTGCATGCAAACTCCATATAAGACTTGCATTCAACCTAAACCTTAAGGTTTTGATATCATGTAAAAATAGTTTGCATCCAACTTAAAATCAATTGACAATAGGTATAATATCTTTTTTATGTTTAATTCACAAATTTTTTCGTTATATACTCGATATTGAGATTTTCCCACATAACAGATAGGGTGACGGGTGGTGTGTTTTGAACTTTTAATTGGGGATAAATTAGAGATTGGGAAAAGCTGGGTTTGAGAAATAGGGCACTGGGGAAGATGGAGGACAAAGAAGCTGCTGAAGAAGGAGGTGCCTACAGTGAATCGAATTGAGGATTTACAGAATAAGAAAAAAAAAAAAAAACTAAAGGAAATCAAAAAAAAAAAAATTGAAAGACAATTTTTTATAGGTTAAAACTCATTTTTGGTCCCTGAACTATTGTACGAACCCCCGATTTGGTCCCTAAACTAAAAAAATCCCTGATTTGATCCCTACTGTTTACCATTTTTACCTCGATTTGGTTCTTCCGTTAAAAATTGTCCGTTAACTCACAGATATATAAAAAATTTAAGTCACGTCAGTTGTACACGTGGATAGATGATGACATGGTCATACCCAACGCAAAAACAAAAGTG